CTCCTCCACTCACTCCTCCACTCACTCCTCCACTCACTCACTCACTCTTCCACTCACTCACTCCTCCACTCACTCACTCCTCCACTCACTCCTCCACTCACTCCTCCACTCACTCACTCCTTCACTCACTCACTCACTCCTCCACTCACTCACTCCACTCACTCCTCCACTCACTCACTCCTCTACTCACTCCTCCACTCACTCCTCCACTCACTCCTCCACTCACTCACTCACTCACTCACTCCTCCACTCACTCACTCACTCCTCCACTCACTCACTCACTCACTCACTCACTCACTCACGTCCTCCACTCACTCCTCCACTCACTCCTCCACTCACTCCTCCACTCACTCACTCACTCACTCACTCCTCCACTCACTCACATCACTCCTCCACTCACTCACTCACTCACTCACTCACTCCTCCACTCAATCCTCCACTCACTCTTCCACTCACTCACTCCTCCACTCACTCACTCACTTACTCACTCACTCACTCACTCCTTCACTCACTCCTCCACTAACTCCTCCACTCACTCACTCCTCCACTCACTCCTCCACTCACTCACTCATCCACTCACTCCTCCACTCACTCCTCCACTCACTCCTCCACTCACTCACTCCTCCACTCACTCACTCACTCCTCCACTCACTCCTCCACTCACTCACTCACTCCTCCACTCACTCACTCACTCACTCCTCCACTCACTCCACTCACTCACTCCTCCACTCACTTCTCCACTCACTCCTCCACTCACTCATTCCTCCACTCACTCCTCCACTCACTCCTCCACTCACTCCTCCACTCACTCCTCCACTCACTCACTCACTCACTCCTCCACTCACTCACTCACTCACTCCTACACTCACTCCTCCACTCACTCACTCAATCACTCCTCTCACTCCTCCACTCACTCCTCCACTCACTCACTCCACTCACTCCTCCACTCACTCACTCCTTTACTCACTCCTCCACTCACTCCTCCACTCACTCCTCCACTCACTCACTCACTACTCCACTCACTCACTCACTCCTCCACTCACTCCACTCACTCCACTCACTCACTCCTCCACTCACTCCTCCACTCACTCACTCCTCCACTCACTCCTCCACTCACTCCTCCACTCACTCACTCACTCCTCCACTCACTCACTCACTCACTCCTCCACTCACTCACTCACTCCTCCACTCACTCCTCCACTCACTCCTCCACTCACTCACTCCTCCACTCACTCACTCACTCCTTCACTCACTCCTCCACTAACTCCTCCACTCACTCACTCCTCCACTCACTCCTCCACTCACTCACTCCTCCACTCACTCCCTCACTCACTCACTCACTCCTCCACTCACTCCTCCACTCACTCCTCCACTCACTCACTCACTCCTCCCTCACTCACTCCACTCCACTCACTCCTCCACTCACTCCTCCACTCACTCCTCCATTCATTCACTCACCTCCTCCACTCACTCACTCACTCCTCCACTCACTCACTCACTCACTCCTCCACTCACTCCTCCACTCACTCCTCCACTCACTCACTCCTTCACTCACTCACTCCTTCACTCACTCACTCCTTCACTCACTCCTCCACTCACTCCTCCACTCACTCACTCACTCCTCCACTCACTCCTCCACTCACTCCTCCATTCACTCACTCACTCACTCCTCCACTCACTCACTCCACTCACTCCTCCACTCACTCACTCCTCCACTCACTCCTCCACTCACTACTCCACTCACCCACTCACTCACTCACTCCTCCACTCACTCACTCACTCACTCCTTCACTCACTCCTCCACTAACTCCTCCTCTCCTCACTCACTCACTCACTCCTCCACTAACTCCTCCACTCACTCCTCCACTCACTCACTCACTCACTCACTCCTCCACTCACTCCACTCACTCCACTCACTCACTCCTCCACTCACTCCTCCACTCACCCTCATTCATTCCTCCACTCACTCCTCCACTCACTCACTCACTCACTCCTCCACTCACTCCTCCACTCACTCACTCTTCCACTCACTCACTCACTCCTCCACTCACTCCTCCACTCACTCACTCACTCACTCACTCACTCCTCCACTCACTCCTCCACTCACTCCTCCACTCACTCCTCCACTCACTCCTCCACTCACTCACTCACTCCTCCACTCACTCCTCCACTCACTCCTCCATTCACTCACTCACTCACTCCTCCACTCACTCACTCCACTCACTCCTCCACTCACTCACTCCTCCACTCACTCCTCCACTCACTCCTCCACTCACTCCTCCACTCACTCACTCACTCCTCCACTCACTCACTCACTCACTCACTCACTCCTCCACTCACTCCTCCACTCACTCCTCCACTCACTCACTCACTCACTCACTCCTCCACTCACTCCTCCACTCACTCCTCCACACTCCTCCACTCACTCCTCCACTCACTCACTCACTCACTCAACTCCTCCACTCACTCACTCCACTCACTCCTCCACTCACTCCTCCACTCACCTCCACTCCTCCTCCACTCACTCCTCACTCCACTCCTACCACTCACTCCCACTCACTCCACTCACTCACTCCTCACCTCACTCATCCTCCACTCATCTCACTCCACTCACTCATCCTCCATCACTCCTCCACTCACTCACTCCTCCACTCACTCCTCCACCATCCTCCCTCACTCCTCCACTCACGTCACTCCCTCACTCCTCCACTCACTCCTCCACTCACTCACTCCACTCACTTCCTCCAATCACTCACTCACTCCACTCACTCCATCCCTCCTCCACTCAGCACTCCTCCACGTCACCTCCTCCACGTACACTCACTCACGCACTCACTCACCTCCACTCACTCCTCCACTCACTCCTCACCCACTCACTCTACACTTCACTCCACTCTCCACTCCACCTCCTCCACTCACTCCTCCACTCACTCCTCCACTCCTCACCATCCCCACTCCTCCACTCACCACTCCTCCACGTCACTCACTCCATCCACTCACTCCTCCACTCACTCACTCCTCCACTCACTCCTCCACTCACTCCTCCACTCACTAACTCACTCACTCCTCCACTCACTCACTCACTCACCCCTGCACTCACTCCTCCACTCACTCACTCTTCCACTCACTCCTCCACTCACTCCTCCACTCACTCACTCCTCCACTCACTCACTCACTCCTCCACTCACTCCTCCACTCACTCCACCACTCACTCACTCACTCCTCCACTCACTCACTCACTCACTCACTCACTCCTTCACTCACTCACTCACTCACTCACTCACTCCTCCACTCACTCACTCACTCACTCACTCCTCCACTCACTCCTCCACTCACTCACTCACTCCTCCACTCACTCCTCCACTCACTCCTCCACTCACTCACTCACTCCTCCACTCACTCACTCACTCACTCCTCCACTCACTCCTCCACTCACTCACTCACTCCTCCACTCACTCACTCCTCCACTCACTCCTCCAGTCACTCCTCCACTCACTCAGTCACTCACTCACTCCTCCACTCACTCCTCCACTCACTCACTCCTCCACTCACTCACTCCACTCACTCACTCACTCCTCCACTCACTCACTCCCTCACTCACTCACTCCTCCACTCACTCACTCCTCCACTCACTCCTTCACTCACTCCTCCACTCACTCACTCCTCCACTCACTCCTCCACTCACTCCACTCACTCCTCCTCCACTCACTCCTCCACTCACTCCTCCACTCACTCACTCACTCACTCCTCCACTCACTCACTCACTCACTCCTCCACTCACTCCTCCACTCACTCGCTCCTCTAGTCACTCATCGACTCACCTCTCCGATGAGGCACTCTCTCGTTCCTCCCCCTCTCTCTCTCTCGTCCCTCCCCTTACGATATTTATTTTTCATCTTAATCTCTCATCGTATCTCTCCCTCTCTCTCGTCTCCCCCAATGTCTCTCACTTACGCATCCTCTTTCAAACTCATTTATCTAATCTCTCACTTATTTATTTCCTCATGAATTCATATCGTCTCTCATCCTTCATAGTATTCGCATTGTCTGTCACTCACGAGTCCTCTGCCGAAACTTCTCTCTTTTCTCATTCTCTTTTTCACAAACTGTAACTCTCTCTCTCATCTCTAATTTAATCTCTCACACATTAATATATTTAATCTCATTCTACCATTCAGTCAATTGTTACTTATTTCACTCACTCATCCAACACTCCACCCTCTCTCACTGCTTCTCTAAACGTATCCAACTCATCAATCCTTTCTCTCTTTCATTCATTAAAAAAAAAATCATTAATTCTCATTCGTTGTATCATTCACCGATCCTCTCGTTCACTAATCCTATCTCATGCATAGAGGCTCTTTCTCACACGTTCCACCCATCGCCTCATTCTCATGTATTCACTCATTGCCCAGCTCTCGCTCATTCATCTGTACCCTCTCACATCGTCGTTCAATTAAACTCAATCTTCTCGCCTCTCTCACATTCTGCCATGTTCCTGTTGTCATTATCTCTCTCATTTACTCTCACTAACCCCCCCCCCCCCCCCCCCCATTCTACCCTATTACTCCCTATCATTCATACACTTATTTTCTCATCTCTCCTTCATTCATTCATCCTCACGAATGCTTTCTATCATTAATGTATTAATTTGTTCAGTCTCATCCTAATGACAATACTTCATTCGACAGCCATTATCCCTCTCTCTTGCAACGATCCATCCTGTCTCTCTCACTCACTCATCCTCTCATTAAGTCCCACGAACTCATTCATCTTCTCTCTCTCACGCATTCCCTGTCACCCTCCATCACATCCCCCCCTCCTTCATCCCCTCTTTCTCCTTGGCTCTCCCCGACCCCTCTCTGTGTCTCCTTCACTCTCCCCCCCACCCCCCCCCTCTTAATCCCAGAATATGTGTCCCGTGTTTAAAACTCCAGGAGGGTCCTACGGAAAAATAACCAACAACAACAACAATGAAAACCACCGAGAGAAGGACTCACTCGGGCGAGTTGACCCAGATGATGTCGAGGTGGCAGTAGTAGATGCACTCCCTGTCGAGGAAGGACGCGCAGGAGCATCTCTTGGTGCGAGTCCGCGCGGCGGCACGACCCCCCGCGGCCGCCGCGTCTGTGCCCCCCCCCCCGGCACCGCCACAAGCAGAGAGCGACATTGTTAGCGGGGGACAGGAGACAGATTAGACACGGGTGCGTGCACGCCTCTGTGCGCCTCTGCGCGCCTCTTGTGTTGTTTGCGAGTGGGGAGCGGCGGCGTAGCGGGCAGCGTGCTGCGCTCCAAACCCTTGTCGACACCGTTGACGAATTATATGCATCGGTCCTGGGCTTCCCCCTAGGTCGACTCGGCCTTAAATTAGTTCCTGGTGTGTGAAGCGTCAGTAAAGGGGTGATTAAGGCGGCTGGTTGTGGTCCTGGCCACCCACCCCCTCGTATGCGGTGCCGGCCTCAATAGGCACTCGCTAACAGCAATCGCCCTCACAACCTGTCAAGGCTACACAGGGGATCTTTGCATTGGTGTGCACCAACGCTCTCTGTGTGTGTACGTGTGTGCGTTTAGGGCGCTGCGCGACCCGAGTTCGAATTCCGCTCAAGGCCGATTATCTGAACTAACCCTGGGCCTTCCCTAGGTCGACTCAGCCTCAAATGAGTACCTAGTCCGGTGTGTAAAATACATAGCCACTGGGGAGACAAAGGCGGTCGGGCGTTGTGTTGGCCACCCACCTCCTCGTGTACTGTGCCGGCCTCCGTAGGTGCTCGCTAACAACACTTGCCTCAACAGTCCCTTGCAGGGCTATACGGGGGATCTTTGTCTTTCTAGCTTAAGAAGACCCGAATTATCCCTGAAATTAAACCGTCAACTGATCCAGAGCCCCCCCCCCACCCCCCCGGGGAGCAGAACGGTCACTTAAGAACATCTCATGATCCCCCGCGACCCATGTCTGCAGCTGGGCTTCTATTAAAGAGTTGACGCGCAACAATACAATTCGACGCGCGCGAGAGTTACCCTCGGTGAGTCCAATTAAACAATGGGTGAACAGCGCAATTAAGCCCGTTCGATTAACACGGGATTATAAAAAAAAGTATATATACAAAATCGTACGAACATTTCGACTTGCAGTGAGCGTGTCTATTGTCGGGGCCGAATTTCAAACTCGGTATTTTCCGGAAGACTGCAAGGCTGGCTCGGAGTTTGGGAATATCGGTGTAAGGAACTACCACCAGAGTGCAAGGGATCCTTAAAAATATTAATAATAATGATGATCCTATATTATTGTACCTAATTTCTGCAAATCTCAAGGAGAGGTTTACAGGAATATAGGGCACGGTGAGGCCAACACGAGGGGACATGGATGTGTCTGGGTGTCGAAGCAATTCCTGCAACAGCGTCCCGGCTGAAATGAATCCCTAACGGTATTGTTATGAAATGACCGTGATGTGGGGTCATGTCTTGAATACATCTTCCACGCTGTGCTGTGCATGCACATCAGTGAATTCTGATGTTGCAGATTGTATGGAAACGAACGCCTCTGTGTTTGCGTGTTGTTTATGCGTGTTGTGTGTGGGGAGCGGTCCTGCAGTGTTTGGCCTTAATAGATGCTTGCGAACAGCACTTGCCCCGAGTCTGTCAAAATCTGTACAGGGGATCTTTGTCTTTGTTGCTACGCCCTTGGTAAGTGCTCATAACTAACACTTTTCGCAATGGGTATTTTTGGCTTTTTACTATTAGTGTTTATGTATGCGAGTGTGGGGACACGTGTGTGTGTGTGTATTTACGTGTGTTTATGTGCGCCCGTGTGCATTGAGATTTATTTTTTTGCGTGGGGAGCGGTGGCGTAAAGATTTGCGCCACGCTCTACGAACCAAGCCCATCCGAGTTCGATTCCTGGCAATGGCCACTAACATCAGTGGCAAGTGGTGTCTAAACCTATCCTCCCCTAGGTCGACTCTGCCCTAAACGAGTTCCAAACCCTGCGTGTAAACTACACGAGCAAGACACGCGCGGTCTCACGTGGCGCTTGCCACAGAGCCGTGTAAAAACCTAAATGGGTGCTCGCAAACACCACGTGTCTCCCGGCCTGTGCGTCGCGAGCTAAACGTGGCATAGTCGTCGCCAACATTGTGATCCACATTTGTCGAAACAAAGTATTTGTTGCTGCTGCGTTGGCAGTGGTGCACATGCACAAACACAACCTCGCATTCAGAAAACACTGCCCGCAAAGTAAAGAAATATATATTAGGCGACGTTTCAGGCAATGGCCCTTCTGTACAGCACGCCTCCCAGTTATGCGCTACGAAGGGCGATCGTTCTAAACGTCGCCTATTGTATAAATGCTTTTCTTTTCAGGCCAGTGTTATTGACGAATGCGTTGTGGTTTTTTCACATTTGCTTTTGGGTTAGGCCACGGCATAGTTTTATGGTAATTTTTAAAAATAATTTAACCCTCCACCACCCAAAAATATTTTTCTCATGTGGGGGGGAGGGGGGGGGGGGCGATTGTTGTGTCCGTGTGTGTGATTGTCACGAGTACGTGTGTGTAATTCTGTGTACACTTGCATAGTCACAAACGGAACACTGCATTCAACACAGCACACAATTGTGATCAATGACTGCAACCTAACGTTGGGGTTTCGAAGCCAATAATGATAATTGATGTTTGAGTAAGGCCTCGTCCAAAAATTAATCACGAATCATAATCATGCATTACATTCACCGAGACAGTCTTGAATGAGTCTTAACATTTGTGCAATGAGACGTGAAATATTTTGCGCGTGAGAGGGAGCCGGAAGTATCTGGAGAAAAGCCACCGATATAAGGGGATAACATTCACCCACAAACGGAACAGTGCTCATGTCCGTTGGCAACTCTACTCCGGTGGTGGAAATTCCACATTGCTATGGCAGGGCCCCATCTAAAAAATAGCAGCCACCGTTGATTTAACACAACGCGCTCTTTTTGTTTTAAATCTACTCTGGACGCAAGATGAGCCGAGTGGAGCCTTCCGATTTCACTCCGCCGAATGCGTATGCCAATCCACTGCTGGATGAGGGCCTCCCCATGCCGTGGTGGTTAACATGGGAGTAACCCCGGAGAGTTGAAAAGCAAGGAGATAATCACACAGCGGGTATCAGCGTCTACTTTAGGTCGTGGTGTAAAAACCAGAGTGTGAAATCTCATTACTTTAATATCAACATTGCGGGTGATTGTGGCGGCATGTTGGTGGCTGCAGGGATCACGTGAGCCCAACGCGGACCACGCGCGGATCTAAAAACATCGACGTGCGGCATCTGTGAGTTGAAGAGTTGACATTAATCGATTGTGGCCGTTAACAGCAGCGCTTCATGGACGAATCTCGAGGATGAGTCTCCCATCCACAGGGTGCCAGGTGCCTGGGAGGGGCAGTACAACAAGCGGGTTGCTGACCCGACCTTCGTATCGCATTTCCGACTGCTATCCACGTTTGGAGTGCGTGCCGTTCTCACGAGTATTTTCATTTAAACCCACTTTAAATGGCGATTACGAAGATATACGGAGTCCGTTGTCAGTCCACTGCTGGATGAAGGCCACAGGACCGGTTCAGACTCATTCATTCTTCGCTGAATGCATTGCGCTCACGTGACCCCAATATATCAGATATCGCTCGCCACTGATGTTAGCCGTGGCCGGAAATCGAATTCAGGATTGTCACATTCATGGCGCAGTGAGCTAAGCACTGCGCCACAACTCTATCCCCAGGCAATCACATGCAACGATTTGGAATTAACAGGCAACGCCCAAGTGTGATGTGGGGTTAAATATGACGCTGCGTGTGTGAACGCTGGCTTAATGAGAATTGAGAATGATCAGCCTCAGGCACTACTACCACTCGAGTACATGGTATGCCTATCCTTAATCATTCTAGACAGTAGGATGATGATTGTACCCTACATTCCGAGAATTATGAGGACGACGTGAGTGCGCATCGGGAGGACAAAATAAGGCGATGTGCAATTGGTGGGGTGCCAACAACATTTCTGGAACAGCATTTATCGGACTGGCGTGATTGTGAGAGCAGAGGGGTTTTCCGTGTGCCCGGAGCGGGTGAATCTTACCCCCAGCGAGGAGTTGAGCCACCAGGGTGGACACAAGCGCTGCGTACAGACACAGGCGCATGGCTCAGTCAGCAAAGTCCCACAGTTCCGAAGAGACGTCTGCACCAGCAGCAGCACCACCAACAACAGCACCGCCAGTACCGGCAGTAGCAGCAGCAGCAGCAGCACTACCAGCAGTGACAGCACAACCACCAGCAGCACGACTAGGAACCTGCAGTAGCAGCACCACCAACAGCAGCGGAGGCAACAGCACCGCTAGCACTGACAGCCGTAACAGCATCAGCTCCAACAACAATCACTACCAGCAGTAGCAGCACCACCACCACCACTAATAGCGGCACAAACAGCAGCTAGGAAGAGCTGCACCTGCAGCAGGAACAGCACCAAACGCGTAGCGAGCTCAGAGGCCGAGAGGGGAAGTGTGGTCTGAGCCATGTGGATGCGCGGCTGGGTTTATATACCCGAGTGAGAGCACGTGTTTGTGTGTGTGTGTGCGTGTTCCGTGGGGAGCGGTGGCGCAGTGGTTAGCGTGCTGCGCTACGAACACACAGCGACCCGAGTTTGATTCATGACCAATAAGAGTGGCAAATATATTGGAGTCGGTCCTCGTCCTCCCCTTGGTCGACTCAGCCTTAAATGAGTACCTGGTGCGGTGGGTAAATATCAGCACTGGGGAGACAAAGGCGGCCGAGCGTGGTCCTGGCCACACAACCCTCTCGTGTGCAGTTCCAGCCTTCATAGGTGCTCGCTAACAGCACTTGCCCCAACAGACTGTTAAAGGTTATACAGGGAATCTTTGTCTGTACATAAGTACATTCAAATTCACATGCAGACGAAAGCTGACATTTGGCACGAGTATTAATTATCAGATTAAAATGTAAATAATTAATTAACATTCTTGAAAGCAAAAATAACCAAAACTCAACAACAATCGTCAATAACACGGCCACTAACCCTTAAAAGAAGAAAATATTGACTAGGTGACGTTTGATGCATTGGTCCTTCTTCACACCACATAGAGAAGCCAAGAGGCAGAGTGCAAATAATAAACTACATATTTAAAACTATAAACTATCTTTTTATTTTACCAGGTAAGGCCCACTGAGCGCTACACAATATCTATTTTTGAGAAGCGACTTAAGAACAAATGACAGCTCAACGAAGTGGCTTATCATGTGGAAATCCACTCGACCACGCGGAGAAAGACACCGCAAACTCCACATATACAGCAGGCGTTAGGGTCGGGATCGAACTCACGATCTTCTGCATACCAGGCGAGGGAGTTAACATCTCGCCACCGCGGCGCTCAAATAACAAAGGCAGCTAAACAATTATTCATAATCATCAGCCATGGTCAATCCACTGATGGATGAGGGACTCCCCGCCCCGTTCCGGTTGTGGGAGTTATTTGACCATACTTCCCCACTCTTGTCAGCGTGAATTGCTGAAGGCAGGGAGCACAGAAGGACAATACAGTACACACAATTGCTTTTTATCTGCTCATCCACATGGCCTGTTTTGTGCGATGTGATCGCCCATCCAAGCACTATACAGGCTCAACCCTGCATGACACACACACACGTGTGTTCTGGACATCCGTGAAGAAGAGCTTCACAACTCATCGGATTCCTCCAGAATAAGTGAAAGGTCCATTCGCTCTGTCCCTCCCCCAGCCGCTTCGGGGTGGATTTCCACACATCTCTCTGTGTGTCTCTGTCAAATTTCTCACTTGACTTCTAATTTTAGCAATCTTTGGAGATCATAATCAACCAGGCTATGCGTTAACTGTATTCTAGCCGACTCTCTGTGTTGCATTGCATTACATTTCCAAGAGATTTGCTCAATTTTGTTTTCTCAAACTATTTCTCTCTCTAAAATTTACCCGGCTCTCATAGGGCCATTCGATCTTATTTCCCTCGGTCGCTTCGGGGTGGATTCATTGACATGCTAATTTCTCTGCTCCAGCAGCTGCCCCAGCAGACCCACCTCCCTCTCTGCCCCCCCCCCTCTCTCTATTTAAGACCTCGACACAGAGGCATTGGGTCTCTGTGTGTCTATGTTGTGCGTCTCTCTCTCTCTGTGTGGCTCTGTGTTGTCTCTCTCTGTGTGTTTATGTTGTGTGTCTCTCTCTGTGTGTCTTTGTTGTGTGTCTCTCTCTCTGTGTTTCTGTGTTCTCTCTCTCTGTGTGTCTCTGTGTTGTCTCTCTCTGTGTGTCTATGTTGTCTCTCTCTGTGTGTCTATGTTGTGTCTTTCTCTCTCTGTGTCTCTGTGTTATCTCTCTGTCTGTGTCTATGTTGTGTATCTCTCTCTGTGTCTCTGTGTTGCCTCTCTCTGTGTGTCTATGTTGTTTGTCTCTCTCTCTCTGTGTCTCTGTGTTGTCTCTCTCTGCTTGTGTGTCTGTGTGTCTCCGTGTCTGTGTTTTGTCTCTCTCTCAAATATAGTTCTACCTGATGACGGTTGCTTGTGTTGCAATCGAAACGTCGTACTCTATTATTTAATTTATTTTATTTCTACGTAACTTTCCCGAAAGAACCAAAGCGCAAGACGTAAAGGTTCTGATTTTGACGTGTCCGTATCGAGCGGACACAAGTACAGTCGCATTTAGACCCAATCAAAAATCCCGCCGTGTTGTCAACTCGTGGGGCCAAGTGTTGTTATTGATCAACTACGAAGGCTCACACCTCTACATCCTGTACATACAGGCATATTTGCGTAGTGGCGTAACGCGCGCAGGGTTTGCAAACAGCAGTTGCATTATGTTCGGGGTTGCAGGCAGTGAGGTCACCTAAGAATCAGCAGGTGCAGGCGGGTGGCCTGGCTGACAGCAGACGGAGAGACGCCAGCAATTAGGGCAAGAGGCGGTGATTGGCTGTTTGCAAATGCAAACGCAGAGAAGGGGGCACGGAGGCGAGAGATAGTGGCGATAAGGGGGAGAACACGCATTGAATGAGCAGGGGGATAAAATAGGACCGTGTGAGGAAGAGGAGTTGAGTTGGTTGGAGTGAATTCAAGAGAAGCCCGGGACCCCGCTCTCCACACCTCGTCCTCACCAGCGGTGTTGGCTGATCCCCCGCTGGAGGCAAGGGCGAGGTTGGGGGAGTGAGGGTAGGCAAGCTAGCAGTGGAGAAGCTAGCAGAGTGCATAGTGAGAGGCTAGCAGTAGAGAAGCTGGCAGAGTGTATAGTGAGAGGCTAGCAGAGTGTATAGTGAGAGGCTAGCAGTGGAGAAGCTAGCAGAGTGCATAGTGAGAGGCTAGCAGTAGAGAAGCTGGCAGAGTGTATAGTGAGAGGCTAGCAGAGTGTATAGTGAGAGGCTAGCAGTGGAGAAGCTAGCGGAGTGTATAGTGAGAGGCTAGCAGTGGAGAAGCTAGCGGAGTGCATAGTGAGAGGCTAGCAGTAGAGAAGCTGGCAGAGTGTATAGTGAGAGGCTAGCAGAGTGTATAGTGAGAGGCTAGCAGTGGAGAAGCTAGCAGAGTGCATAGTGAGAGGCTAGCAGTAGAGAAGCTGGCAGAGTGTATAGTGAGAGGCTAGCAGAGTGTATAGTGAGAGGCTAGCAGTGGAGAAGCTAGCGGAGTGTATAGTGAGAGGCTAGCAGTGGAGAAGCTAGCGGAGTGCATAGTGAGAGGCTAGCAGTAGAGAAGCTGGCAGAGTGTATAGTGAGAGGCTAGCAGAGTGTATAGTGAGAGGCTAGCAGTGGAGAAGCTAGCGGAGTGTATAGTGAGAGGCTAGCAGTAGAGAAGCTGGCAGAGTGTATAGTAAGAGGCTAGCGGAGTGCATAGTGAGAGGCTAGCAGTGGAGAAGCTAGCGGAGTGTATAGTGAGAGGCTAGCAGAGTGTATAGTGAGAGGCTAGCAGTGGAGAAGCTAGCAGAGTGTATATAGTGAGAGGCTAGCAGTGGAGAAGCTAGCAGAGTGTATAGTGAGAGGCTAGCAGTGGAGAAGCTAGCAGAGTGCATAGTGAGAGGCTAGCAGTATAGAAGCTAGCAGAGTGTATAGTGAGAGGCTAGCAGAGTGTATAGTGAGAGGCTAGCAGTGGAGAAGCTAGCAGAGTGTATATAGTGAGAGGCTAGCAGTGGAGAAGCTAGCGGAGTGTATAGTGAGAGGCTAGCAGTGGAGAAGCTAGCAGAGTGCATAGTGAGAGGCTAGCAGTAGAGAAGCTAGCAGAGTGTATAGTGAGAGGCTAGCAGAGTGTATAGTGAGAGGCTAGCAGTGGAGAAGCTAGCAGAGTGTATATAGTGAGAGGCTAGCAGTGGAGAAGCTAGCGGAGTGTATAGTGAGAGGCTAGCAGTGGAGAAGCTAGCAGAGTGCATAGTGAGAGGCTAGCAGTAGAGAAGCTAGCAGAGTGTATAGTGAGAGGCTAGCAGAGTGTATAGTGAGAGGCTAGCAGTAGAGAAGCTAGCGGAGTGTATAGTGAGAGGCTAGCAGTGGAGAAGCTAGCAGAGTGCATAGTGAGAGGCTAGCAGTGGAGAAGCTAGCGGAGTGTATAGTGAGAGGCTAGCAGAGTGTATAGTGAGAGGCTAGCAGTGGAGAAGCTAGCAGAGTGTATATAGTGAGAGGCTAGCAGTGGAGAAGCTAGCGGAGTGTATAGTGAGAGGCTAGCAGTGGAGAAGCTAGCGGAGTGTATAGTGAGAGGCTAGCAGTGGAGAAGGTAGCGGAGTGTTTAGTGAGAGGCTAGCAGTGGAGAAGCTAGCGGAGTGTATAGTGAGAGGCTAGCAGTGGAGAAGCCAGGAGAGGGGCAACGTAAGGGGCTAGCGGAGCGAGAAAGAGAGCGAGTGGAGCGTGGCCGACGAGCCGGTACGAGTGGAGGAGTTGCGACGGAGACGCGTGGTGCTGAACGCGATGAGTTCTGTACGAATAAAGTGACATTGGAGAAAAGAAGAAGAAGTTGTCCGTGTGAAATAACACCACGACGTTTGCACAACGACAAAGATCCCCCCACACCCCACCAGTTTCTCATAGTGAGTGTATATATATCATCAAGTCATCACGACTCGCATCATCGCCACGTTGTGTCATGCCCGACCGCTGTCGTTTCCCAAGTGCTGAGGTTTCCATGCCGCACCCCGGGTACCCAATTAAGGCTCAGTTGACATAGGGGACGCCCAGGACCGGTTTTGTTATCACTCGCTACCGATGTTAGCTGCGGGCGGTAGTTAGTCGCGCTGTTCCCTAACTACTGCGCCACCGCTCCCCATGAGTCCTATATGACCTCCTGCAAAGCCGTAACAGACTGTAAGGGCAAGTGCTGTTCGCGAGCACCTATGAACGGCTGGCATGGTATGCGAGGGGGTGGGTGGGCAGCATTAAACCCGGCCGCCTTTGTCTCTCCAGGACTGGTGCAGGATATTCCGTCACTGATGCTGTCCGTGAGCGGGAATCGAACTCGGGTCGCCGAGTTCGCAGCGCAGAGCGCTAACCGCTGGCTCCACCGCTCCCCACGTCCATGCGGACACACACACAAGCACAACGCCGCACACACACACACACAGGCACAATGTCGCACACACACACGCGTCCCTGGGCTGCACATTGTGTGCCATTGTGTGCCGGCATCAGCGTTCTAATGTGTTAAAATTGGAAAATTACTCCGCAAATGACTCAAGTTTGGGATTACCCGCAAAGCCATCGTCACCCCCCTACTGGCAGACGAATGGCCCGGGTCGCTCTAGCAAATAGCGACTCCTCTTTTGTCGATTAAACTAAACTTAAACTGAACATATACGTGCAATCACATGCGTTATTGCACACAGACAAAAGGCAAAGATCCCCCCTTAGAGCCTGCAACAGACTGCAGGGGCAAGTGCTGTTAGCGAGCACCTCTGAAGGCCGGAACGGCACACGAAGGGGTGGGTGGCCAGCACCACGCCCGGCCGCCTTTGTCTCCCTAGTGGCAATGTTTACACATTGCACCAGGTATTAATATGAGACTGAGTCGACCTAGGGGAGGCCCAGGACCGGTTCAGATAGTCGTCACTGCTTTTGACCGTGAGCGGGAATACGAACTCGCGACGCCAGGTTCGCAGCTGCAGCGCAGCGCCCTAACCGTTACACTACCGCTCCCCAAGGTTACACACACACACTGCGATGGAGAGAGGGAGCGTGCGTATCTGTCATATACAAGGTCTCAGGTACATTTCATCTGAGATGTTTTCACAGCTGCATGAATGCGTGGCTGTGGTGTGTGTGTGAGAGTTTGTGCATATATGCTGGGAAGCAGTGGCGCAATGGTTAGCGCGCACGGAACCACATACCCGGCCTCCTGAGTTCGATTCCCGCTCACGGCCAACATTAGCGGCGAGTGATGAACTAATCCGGTCCCCCGAGGTTTGTAAGCATCAACACTGGGGAGACAAAGGCGGACCGGGCGCTGTGTTATAGCTACCCAGCGTGTGCCGTGTCAGCCTTCTTCGTAAGGTGCTCGTCCATGTTAGAGGCTATACGGGGGGATCCTTGTCTTTGTACGGATGTATACTCTTAGTTCTTTCGGTAAAGTCACGTAGGTAAAAAATGAAATTAAAATTAATTAAAATAAAATAATAATAAAATAATCATTTTTTACCTACGTGACTTTACCGAAAGAACTAAGAGTATGAATCCTTGCAGTCACGAAAGCTTCAAATCTAGAATTTGTACGGATGTGTCCGTTCGCCCCGTGGGTGTACACATATGTGCCTCCGTATATGCCTCCAGGGCACACGTGTCTCTCGCGTGTGCTGTACCTGCGCGGAGGGAGCGTGGAGGAATGCGCGCGAGTGCCTGGGAGTCGGTGCGGGGCGTCCTCGTGGCGACTCAACACGTCCCATTCATGGCCCCCGGTGTTTGCCTCCTTATTCACAGCAGCAGCAGCAGCGATTTGCCTGTGCGAACCCCCTATTAATTACACGCGTTTCCAGGAATTAGTGACTCCTGTTTCGGAATGGCACCCGGAGAATATTGTTTATTTTTGTGAACGTAAAATATTTTTTTCGAACTCACTCAAAATTCATTTCATTTTCACGGAGTGGCGGCCGAGGATTTGTTACGCACGTCTGAAAAGTCGACCGCCGAGGAGATGAAGCGATAGAATCAGTTCGTGCAGGGGCTGGGTGGATTGTTGATGATAGGTGGATTGTTGGTGCTGGGTGGATTGCAGGTGCTGGGTGGAAATAACGTGTTTGTTTTCTACAAGAGTGTTGTAGTTTGGGCTTGCTATCGGGCGATGGCACGGCCCAGTAGTGGGTAGCGCGTTCGTTCGTTGCAGAGGTTTTGTGGTTTGAATCCGGAAGGCCGCTGTGGTTAATACTGTGGGCGGATTGACAAATGAAAAAGACTCGTGAGACTGAGTGAGGCTTTGCTTGGTAAAAATAAAGCGTAGTAAAGAATAATATGTAGTCTCAGAAAATAAGCAATTATATTCTTGTGCAATGCAATATGTTCACGAGCTAAATGCCAATGTCGAGGTCTGCTCGCCAGGAGAGGACTTCAGTAGAGGTTTGCTTGGTGTGTGTCTCGCTCGGCGTGTCTTTGTGTGTGTGTCTCTCTCTCTGCATGTGTGTCTGCCAACGCTGTTCCCGTGTCTGTGTTTTATCATTCATTCTTACCTGATGATGGCTGCTTGTGTTGCGACCGAAACGTCGTATTCTATTATTATTTTATTTTCTACGTGACTTTACCGCAGTCACGAAAGCTTCGAATCTAGTGAGTGTAGTTTGTGTTGTCCCTCTTCCGTTGAAAGATCGTAGGGACTACAGCGGGTTACTATGCGGGCCACAGTTTAAGTTGCATGGCCGGAGTCATCTTGGACCCCGAGAAACCACCACGTGCAACAGCGCTGTGATCAGACTCGGCGCGCGCTCTTCCAGGCTGCGTTGCTCAGGAACGCAAAGCGATTTCTTATTTCGCTTGCCCGTTCACAAGTCCACTACGGATGCCCGCAAACTCAATTGTTTTTTTTTATGTAAAGCAGAGTATAACAGTTGAATATGTATATATGTAAAACACACACACACACTTAGTGTGCTTGAATTAGTATCAAAACATCACCAAATTAGAGTCGAAACATATTGAGACGGGGTTTTCGTCAGATCGATGGTACTGAGATGGAACGTAACGCTTCATATTCCCGGTGGTAGTGATGCGCATTGCACGAAGGTTCAAGGCGCACAGAACTCTCGTCTCATCCCACTCAGAACATTCGCCACATTCAACACTGAAACGTATTCTCATCGAATACGGAAACCCTTGACTCATCCAATACCACATCCTTATCTCATTCAACATGAACCGCTTATCTTGTTAGGGGCCGTCCATAAATGACGTCACGCGATTTTGGACGATTTTTTGACCCCCTCGTCACACGGCGTCACAAAAAGTCAGACCCCCCCTCAAATATGACGTCACAAAGCTCTGCCCCCCCCAAAAAAAAAAACATGCTTCAAATCGCTTTAAACTATTGTCATTGTAGTACGTATTTAATGTGGCGCTGCACTCTGATGTTGTAGGAGAAAACATTTATCAAAAAGTATATTTAATTAAGTAGAACGTGTTGTCTATATCTATTAAAAGTTTCGCATTTTTACGTGGCGTCACATTTCTCAAACCCCCCCCCCCTCGTCACACATCGTCACAAATGTCTGACCCCCCCCTCCCCAGGTGAGTGACGTCATTTATGGACGGCCCCTTAACGCTCATCGGTTACGCGGAGACGCGGAAACTCGGGATGAGCTGCGCTTAAGTTGGGGGGGCGGTGGTGGTGGTGGGTGAGAGAGGGGGGCATCGGCTGAAGCGGTCGTCTTGGTGGCGAGCAGGGCTCGGAGCTCGTGGGTGAGGGGTAGCTTGTACTGCGGTTCGCAGGGCGAGGGTGCGGGGTGCAGGCCGGATCCTCTGCGCTGCACGTGGGGGTGGTGGGTGGCTTCGTGAGCGGTCCTCCTCGTGGCCGTGATGAACATGACGAGGTCCTCGAACGCCAGCGTGTCCCCCTGCAAGAGTCGACACGCGATTTGGGGATCGCGAGCAAAGGGCGGCCGGCTCGGGGTCACTGTGGCTGAGTCATTGATACATCGGGATCGATGGGTTTGCTGGGAACGATGCGTCGACTGATTGGTGGGCACCGCAATTGTTGATCCGGACACTCACAGCGCACGCATCGCATTGTGGGTGTAAGGATCACATCATTACAAATTAAGTGATAATGATCTAAGTTATATGTGCACACAAAAATAATCACCCACAATAGTTAGAAAAACGGGATGAATAAGAGAAAAAAGACGGAGAATAAAAAAAAGAAAGATCGATTTTTTAAAATATTTAATTTAATTACTGGGGTTTGACAGGGGACACGTTTCTTGGTTTGATGTAATGACAGCTACATCCAAATACGCAGTGCCATTGAACCCTACCCGTACAGTAGAGCAACATCCACTCTCGTACTGCTCCCACATCTACGCTGCACGAACCCGCACTGGCCAGCGTGCCCCAGTGCGGTCAAATAACCTTCCATGACCCTCACACGGGGGTGGGTGGTAGGGGGGGGGGGGGCAGGAGGCCCTCATCCAGCAGTGGATTGTTTCTTCTTGTTACACATAGGGCTGCGCATGTGCACCTGCGCGAACTTGCACCGCGTTCGAATGTGCGCGCAGCGCTTCTCCCGTGAGCTCACCGAGTACTTGAGGCATCCCTCGCAGAGCTCCCGGATGCCCTCGCGGATGTCGCGGTCACTCATCGCGCTCAGCAGCCCCAAGCGGCGCCCTCGCAGCACGCCGAGCCAGCCGCTCTGCAAGGGACCGCGGCCACGACGAGAATCCGCGACAGAGCGTCGGAATTAGACCGCACGCCGCTCGACAGAGAGCCCAGGCATACACAGAGACCCACAGACTTACATAGAGACCCACAGACTTACACAGAGACCCACAGACATACATAGAGACCCACAGACTTACATAGAGACCCACAGACTTACATAGAGACCCACAGACTTACATAGAGACCCACAGACTTACACAGAGACCCACAGACATACATAGAGACCCACAGACTTACATAGAGACCCACAGACTTACATAGAGACCCACAGACTTACATAGAAACCCACAGACTCACATAGAGACCCACAGACTTATATAGAGACCCACAGACTTACACAGAGACCCACAGACTTACACAGAGACCCACATACTTACATAGAGACCCACAGACTTACACAGAGACCCACATACTTACATAGAGACCCACAGACTTACATAGAGACCCACAGACTTACATAGAGACCCGCAGAATTACATAGAGACCCATAGAATCACATAGAGACCCACAGATTTACATAGAGACCCACAGACTCACATAGAGACCCACATACATACATAGAGATGCACAGACTTACATAGAGACCCACAGACCATAGAGACCCACAGACTTACATAGAGACCCACAGACTTACACAGAGACCCACATACTTACATAGAGACCCACATACTTACATAGAGACCCACAGACTTACATAGAGACCCACAGACTTACATAGAGACCCACAGACTTACATAGAGACCCTCAGACTTACATAGAGACCCACAGACTTACATAGAGACCAACAGACTTACATAGAGACCCACAGACCATAGAGACCCACAGACTTACATAGAAACCCACAGACTTACATAGAGACCCACAAACTTACATAGAGACCCGCAGAATTACATAGAGACCCACAGGCTTACATACAGACCCACAGACTTACATAGAGACCCGCATAATTACATAGAGACCCACAGACTTACATAGAGACCCACAGACTTACATAGAGACCCACAGACTTACATATAGACCAACAGACTTACATAGAGATCAACAGACTTACATAGAGACCCACAGGCTTACATAGAGACCCACAGACTTACATAGAGACCCGCAGAATTACATAGAGACCCACAGACTTACATAGAGACCCACAGACTTACATAGAGACCCACAGACTTACATAGAGACCCACAGACTTACATAGAGACCCACATACTTACATAGAGACCCACAGACTTACATAGAGACCCACAGACTTACACAGAGACCCACATACTTACACAGAGACCCACAGACTTACATAGAGACCCACAGACTTACATAGAGACCCACAGACTTACATAGAGACCCACAGACTTACATAGAGACCCACAGGCTTACATAGAGACCCGCAGACTACATAGAGACCCGCAGAATTACATAGAGACCCACAGACTTACATAGAGACCCACAGACTTACATAGAGACCCACAGACTTACATAGAGACCCACAGACTTACATAGAGACCCGCAGAATTACATAGAGACCCATAGAATCACATAGAGACCCACAGACTTACATAGAGACCCACAGACTCACATAGAGACCCACATACATACATAGAGACGCACAGACTTACATAGAGACCCACACACCATAGAGACCCACAGACTTACATAGAGACGCACAGACTTACACAGAGACCCACATACTTACATAGAGACCCACAGACTAACATAGAGACCCACAGACTTACATAGAGACCCACAGACTTACATAGAGACCCACAGACTTACATAGAGACCCGCAGAATTACATAGAGACCCATAGAATCACATAGAGACCCACAGACTTACATAGAGACCCACAGACTCACATAGAGACCCACATACATACATAGAGAGACTTACATAGAGACCCACAGACTTACATAGAGACCCACAGACTTACATAGAGACCCACAGACTTACATAGAGACCCACAGGCTTACATAGAGACCCACATACATACATAGAGACCCACAGACTTACATAGAGACCCACAGACTTACATAGAGACCCACAGACTTACATAGAGACCCACAGACTTACATAGAGACCCACAGACTTACATAGAGACCCGCAGAATTACATAGAGACCCACAGACTTACATAGAGACCCACAGACTTACATAGAGACCCACAGACTTACATAGAGACCCGTAGAATCACATAGAGACCCACAGACTTACATAGAGACCCACAGACTTACATAGAGACCCACAGACTTACATAGAGACCCACAGACTTACATAGAGACCCACAGACTTACATAGAGACCCGCAGAATTACATAGAGACCCGTAGAATCACATAGAGACCCACAGACTTACATAGAGACCCACAGACTCACATAGAGACCCATAGACTTACATAGAGACCCACAGATTTACATAGATATCCACAGACTTACATAGCGACCCACAGACTTACATAGAGACCCACAGACTTACATAGAGACCCACATACTTACATAGAGACGCACAGACTCACATAGAGACCCACAGACTTACATAGAGACCCACAGACTTACATAGAGACCCACAGACTTACATAGAGACCCACAGACTTACATAGAGACCCATTGCCTTAGAGACTTAAGAGATCCATACACGCACATTAAGTGCAATGTGGATTTGTACAGGGTCGAAATGCGACTGCGTCTTAAAGATGCTGTAGAGCAACAGTCGGCATAGTTATCCAATAGCAAGAAGCAGTCATGGGCAGATGAAAAATAAAAGGCTTCGAGCCGGGACTTGAAGAACCCCTGGATCAGACGCAGAGGTCACCTTTGAGACCGTGATGGGAATTCGCGCCACGTCCCACTCAACATCGGCCCCCACGTCTTTCAGGCAGCTGATTATTTTCTGTAAAGAGCGGAAAAAAGGTGAACATCAAAACAGACGCGAAGATAAATGACACCTTATCATCGTCGTCGCCACAGTCAGCCTCGATCATTCCACTTCTCGTTAAAGGCCTCCCCAAGGCCTCGTCATGCCTCACGGTAACAATCCACCAGAGTCCATGGCTTATTGGTCAATTGCTCTTCACTTATTATCTGCCGCGTGTGTGCTGGCGACTTGCTGCCTCTTGCCACTCGCACCTTTGTATCCATCTTGATCTCGGCCTTCCCCGTCTACCATTTCCCCCAATCGCCGTGGCCAATGCTCGTGCTGGAGGGCCTTGGTGGTGCGTTCGTCGTGTGGGTCCTCACCAGCGATTCACTGACGGGTCTCTCCGGGTCGGCGCACCCTGGACACCACGCCCGGTATCACTCCTGCTGTGACCGTGGCTACTAGTCACGGTGCCCATGCGAGTGCACTGGCGGCGCTAAAAGTATCCACCAGGCAGCCCTGGATAATGCTGCGGGTGTGTTAACCATTGCAAAAAAGAAACACGCACCGTCAGCTTCACAGTGGACGTTAAAGATCCCGGGATGTCATTCGAAACAGAGTCGGCCCTCGTGTGCTGAAGTCACGGTCCAAATTTGACATTTTTTTAAAAATGACTTAATTTGTAAACGCATCACAATCGTCGCCCCCCCCCCCCTCACCTGCGAAAAAACGTATCAGGACCCTCCTATTGTCTTGAGACTCGGCGAGGCATTTTGCCGGGTATGAAAGCGTCATGAATAATCATAGACATCAACACGATAATCATAATACAAATTCCGTGAGACGCGAGGGCTCACGGTGCAGGAGGCCTCCTCCGGGGCGTGAAGGCGGCGGCGCGCGGCGCTGAACAGCGGCAGAGAGCAGACCCCGTGGGGGCGCCGCACCACCAGCAGCCTCCCGCCGGCGGGCAGCGAGGACAACACGCGGGCTAGAGTCGCCTCCGAGGGGCTCTGTGGGGGCGAAGCGAGCACGGCCGCTTTACCATCATCACCATTGACGCCTTCATCATCATGGTCACCATCATCGTGATCCGCAGCAGCGGGCATCATTGTTATCATCATCGTCACCATCATCGTGATCCGCATCAGCGGGCATCATTGTTATCATCATCGTCACCATCATCGTGATCAGCAGCAGCGGGCATCATCGTTACCATCATCATCATCGTCGTCGTGATTAGCAGCATCATTGTTTTCATCATCATCATCATTAGCATTGTCACCATCATCATCGTGATCAGCGGCAGCATCATCGTTATCATCATCATCGTCGTGATCAGCGGTATTAGAATCATCAGCAGACCCATCGTCATGATCATCATCATCATCATTATCAGCGGTAGTAGTAGCGTCATAACCTGCAGAAAACAGCATCACCATCATCCTCATGATAATTGTGATTATCAGTAGCAGAATTGCCGCCATCGTGATCAGTGGTATTATCATCATGATCATAATCAGGAGTCAGCAAACCAATATAACAATGAGCCATTTTTGTCGAATTCGGAACAAACTCAATCCTTCAAGAGCCGCAATGCACGTGAGTACATTCGTACATACACCACGTGACGACGCAGTCCGCAAAGAGCCGCATCCGGAGGCGCAGGTTGCCGACCCCTGATCATGATTATCAGGAGCACCAAAATCATCATCATCATCATCTGCAGCGGCAGCAGCGACAGGACCATCGTCTGCAGTAGCATCATCTCTGATCACCTCTGTACCCTAACCAGTGGCGCAGCTGGCGAGTGTGCAGGCGATCAAGCTGCACCGGGGCCAATCGAGCTGGAGGGGCCGTGCGCGCCGAGATAAGGGGGGGGGGAGGAGAGGGCCCATCGGCTCCCTTGCGCCAGGGCCCTTTCCCAGCCACACCACCCAGTGGCCTCAACCCTCACCTCTCGACCCTTCCCCTCACCTGCAGGCTTCCCTCCTCCTCCCCTCCCCCCGTGTCCAGCATCATGACGAGCGCGCGGTCGGGGCCTCGCATCGCGCCGCGGGCTGCCCCCGTCTCCCCGGGGCCCCAGGGCCGCGGCGGGGAGTGCAGGCAGCCGAGTCCGACGAGGGCCCGAGCCACATGCGGCTCGTACGGCTCGCAGAGCACCCCGTGGTGCGGCTCCACCTCCAGGTGCCTCGCGATGATCTCCACCAGCCTGTCCGCGCCATCGACAGCGTCGTCGACGTCGTCGTCATTGTCATCGTCACTGTCAGCCGAGATCGAGCATGGTCTGGCGGAAAATCAAGCCATCGTGCTTCTGCGCACGAAATGGATGATGTCGTCGTCGGTCGATATCCGCGGTGGAAGTTTCGAACCTTTAGCTGCTACTCCGTTTGTTAGTGTCGACCACTGGCCATTCAAACCATTCTAGCCGTGATTGTCATGCGCAAGCTCACTTACTTTAATTCACGGTCAAAAGTATGTCCCATATCTTGCTTGCGTTATATAATCCACGCGTTTCCACGTCTGTCTCTGTAATTCCAAGCACGCATCGCCCTATATATCCTTGCATATTTTCAGCTTTTAGATTTTCTTTCTCAATGTCCATATGTCTGATCCATATATCACAGCATGTTAAATCAAATATTGAATAAATAAAATGGAACAAATGATGAAGAGTGAAGACGAAGCGTGAATATGTGCATCTTATTACAACTCAGAAACTCCACGGACAAGAGTCTAGGCTCGGCGCTCCAGGGTCATCAGAGCTACTGTGAAACATTGAAACATTGAAACACGCTCGCGTAGGACGCGTCGCTACAAGGGATGATGGCCGGTGGTCGAGACCAAAAATGAAGTGGTAGCCCCAAAGGATGTGAAAGCCATCCGAGAGGACCTCCACTGCGGAGGTGAGAGCTATGATATCGTCTCGCGTGCGTGGACTCTATGGATCTCTGAGCAGGTGTGCAGGATCAATCAATCGATCTATCTAGGCTGTGGCATCGGGGAATTCTGAACAAAATAATAATAATGACGGCGAGGAACATACCTGTCGAGGTACGCGTCGCCGAATGCGTGATGACCCTTCCCCTCCGTGGGGGCGGCTGCACCGTCCATGGGGTACGGGACACAGACGCGGCCTCCTAGAGACACAGACACGGCCTCCTCCTCCTCCTTGAGACACAGACACGGGCTCCTCCTTGAGACACAGACACGGCCTCCTCTTCCTTGAGACACAGACGCGGCCTCCTCCTCCTCCTTGAGACACAGACACGGGCTCCTCCTTGAGACACAGACACGGGCTCCTCCTCCTCCTCGAGACACAGACGCGGCCTCCTCCTCCTTCTTGAGACACAGACACGGGCTCCTCCTTGAGACACAGACACGGGCTCCTCCTTGAGACACAGACGCGGGCTCCTCCTCCTCGACGCCGCTCAGCATGGAGCGCGTGGCAGCGGCATCCCCTGTCACCGGAGACGACTGCGTGGTCGTCATTAATTAGTTATCCAACTCGACAGGGGCTTTGTTCTCGCTTGATTGGTTTAGCCCAAAGGTAGTTCATACTGCCTGCTCGAGAAGTGAGCTCCTCGTCAACCTAACATGATCACGACAAAGGTACTTGTGAACATGTACAAGCCCTCCATTGTCAGTCCGTTGCTAGATGAAGGTCTCCCCCACGCCATCTCGGTCGTGGGAAACAACTTGACCATACTTCACCACGCTGACAATAGCAACAGTTGATCGCGGTGACCCCGTGGTTCATAATGCCCTGAGCTGTGAACCCGGCGACCTGGGATGATTTCAGGCCGCGAGTAAACGTCAGTGTCGAGTGTTTATCAGAACCGCTCCTGAACCACATCTTGACCCACTTCTAGAGCCAGCACGAACCAACGTGGTTAAGTATTGTTAAATGAATACTTCGACCGACGCAGGGTGAAAGGAGGCCTTCATCCAGCGGTGGATTGACAAAGGCTGTAACACATTACTATTATTATATCGTTACACTACCAGTCCAGCGAAATATTATTGATTCTCAAGAAGGAAGATAAACATCAAACATTGTAAAATGTTTGGCCAATTCCCGACTGAATATATTCATTGTTACAGTGTGCCTCTTGTCTGAAGACATCTAGTACTAATGTCTTGATGGCAGCAGAGACTACCAATTAAACATAAATAGCAAAAAACTAGAAAACACCATCTTATCACGGACACACGAATAAAATACACACAAACACAGGCGTCTTGTTCTAATGTCCCAGGCCTTCGTACCTGTAATTGAACCCAGCACAGACGCACCTTTGGATTCCGGCACACAAATGTGTAAGATTGGCGTGAGTAGCCAGGCAACCCGTGTATGTGAATCGAGCGAGCGAGCGAGAGCATGTGAGTGAGCGAGTGGGCGCTCTCTGGGTTTTGCCACTTGCTTGCTAAAGAGTGTGTGTTCAGGTGGGGCCTTGACTCGCGTTGGGCTATTGACATTTTGTGTCAAAAAACCCTCAACCACTTAGTTCTGGGCGTTGTTGAGTAATTGGTGCAACGGCAGGAGGCCAGTTCAGAAATCGTCGTTCGATTGGTAAATTAGCTTTATTAAATAAAGGTCGTTTGTTTTAACCGTGCGAGAATATGCTGGGCGTCTCCGGTCGTTCCTCATCGGGAAGCCTGGGTTTTATTTACAACCGAGTCGATGTGAACCGAAGCGTAAATCTTTTCTTAAAACGGTGCTTTTCGCAGGCCAAAATTACGATTCATAATTTCTTTTTGGGTTAGGCCACATGCTGATCTGGCAGGACCAGATCCAGGAAGGCAGAATACAATCCAGCAGCGGATAGATCAAGGAAGATAATTATGATGAACACAGCACAATTTGGCTTGTTATACAGCATCTAAATGTGACCGCATAATCGCAATTTGCTGCACAGAAACAGCGGGGAGTATTTATTTTGCACAGAGAAAGAGACAGTCAGTTGTAGACAGAAGGGAAATAAAAGTGGAGGAGGTTCTGAGCCGGGTCTTGATCAGGGACAGGGAGTTGACAACACGAATGGCTGGTGGGAAGGGAGTTCCAGACTATGGGGGGGGGGGGGGGGGGGGGACAGCAGAGGAGAATGGACATTGTGTTGTCACGCAGTGTGGGTGGGAGGTGCGCGCCAGTGTTTGAATTTTTTCAGACGGCATGGAGACCAGGCCAAGGCAAACATGACGCAATGGTTCGGGTGGTGGTGTGGACACGGCTGGCTGCGACCTGATGAGGGCATCACTCGCTCGGTCGCTCACATCCACCCAGGCAGCAAACAAACCGACAGCGCCCGCGGGGGTGGCTGTTCAAACAGCTGCTGGGACTGCACTTGGGGCTTGACTTTAAATAAACTAGACCGCGCTGTTTGAAGAGTGATGCACGCATTCAATTCAGCACGGTGGAGCTCACACATTAATTAGTTTACAGCCGCTTTGTCAATCAATTGCTGGATGAAGGCCCCCCCCCCCCGACTCCCCCCACATGTGCCACGGTGGTCGTGGGGGGTTTGATTGACGTTTCCTCACCACGCTGGTGAGCGTGGCGTGCGCGTCGGTGAATGTTTCGGCGGTCCAGGACCGGTTCACGTCGCATGTCAATACCGTCGGCCGTGGCCCAGAATCGAACTCGGCTTGCCGTGTCTATAGGGCAGTGTGTGCCAACAAAATGTGCTCCCACTGCACCCGGCAAAATCAGAGGAAAACCGGTCCAGAGTTTACGCGTCCGAACAAAATGCTGCCGATCAGTACGAGTCCGGTAGGGAAACTCCGACTAGCCGATGGGCTTAAATTAATGTAATTGACGCGTGGAGATGGGGAACGAGAGGGCCGGCAAACTGCGGAGTTGGAGTAATGAAATCGGCTCGTGTGCAGGTGGCAAGGCGGATTGTTGCATCGCAGAAGAGAGATGGCACCAGCTTGGATAGGCATCTCAACCAGGAGTGGATTGATCAAGGATGGCGATCACGACGAGAGAACGAAATCGAAAGGACTGTATACGTAAAGACTCTTTATCACGCGGCAGGGAGGTGGGTTGGGGGTGACGTTAAATTCCACCCATCATCGCTTCAGGGTCATCTAACAGGCCGATCAAGTCAAATACTTTTATTGCCAAATAAAATCGCGTCTTTAGCTTGCGTTCATGCCAAAAACCACGTGTCATTCTCTTTCTGTCTCTCAATGTAATTCCGAGGACGCACCTCTCCATGATTCTTTGCACGCTCTTCTGCTTTTTGTTCCACTCCCTTTCAAGTTGCCCACGTGTACGATCCGTGCGGTATGGCAGGCAGTACTTACACCTATCACAACCAAGTTGTTTAGTTCACCGAGCTCCGTTATCCCAATGTACACTCCAGCCTGCACTCGCCCGCGTCTACATTTCAACATAAATATGAAGATGTCGTTAAAAACCCGCCGCCACCCGACACCAGCCGACACAACCGAAACGGGAGGATTTCTCCACAACTCTGGCTGTGACCTGATGAAGCTGGTTGTCATTACCGGCGAAACGTCACGGTACTCGAATGGTAAATTTTGTTGTGGGGTTTACTCTCCAATGTACTCAACTAGTAACGAATTGGCACTTTTTGTTTACGCGACAACCATTACTAATTGGCTGTATCAGGTGGTGGCGGGTTTAACGACACATTTATACAGCGTGCTTCAAAAAAAGGTTAACATGTTTAGGGGACGATCGTTTTTCATGGAAAAATAACGGATAATAAACTGTAACATGATAACAAATGTGATGTTAATAGCTTCAAAAAGTCAAAGAGTCTCCACTTGTTCGTCATCGTTGTCAACGCGTGCCTGGAATCTTCTCCGGGTGGTCTCCAGAGCCCGGAGGCAGCATTACTTGTGGTGTTGTTGCAAATTATCAGCGGAAGTGTTCACGTTTTTTTGAAGCACCGTGTATTTACACGATCTCACCCGAAAAAACCCCCCTCCATTATGGATAATATTGCTCGCGAAAGCCTACGTGCTAAACACACCCTGCCGTGTTTTCCAATCGTGATCCCCTCCTACCCCGTCGAAAAAACCCTCGAAAAAATATCTTAAATTTGTTTAGCGACCGTATTGTACGTGACTTTAGTCTCGCTCGTATTCATCTTGAGTCACACTCTTGATTTAAACACAAAAGTAACGTTACGTGCCGATAACAGGCGGCCGTTGTAACAACCGATGGAAACGAACCACGGGAAATGATGCGAGAACTTAATAAAGAAGAGGTTTTTTTTTTTGGTAATCATGCAATCAAAGTTAAATTGGGAAAACAATGGGGCCCTCCAGCGTGGCCGTTTCGACAGATGTAACATTTGGAACGATGGAAGAAATTGGTATATGTGGCTCGACGTGTCTTTTTTTTGGGAGAGAACTCCACCCCCCTCCCCCCTTTCCAAATCCATTGTTGGTCTCCGAGGGCAGCAGCGTCTCTGCGTCTCCCAGCCAGGGTGAAGAGGGTAACACTATAAAATTACACGTCCGTCACTGCCCGGTGACAACGTGACTCACCGTCTCCGGGCGAAGAGGGTGACGACTTGTCGCCAACACGTGTGCCACTTTGTGTTGCTGGTTGGGGGGGGGACGCGGTTCGAACCCCTAGGCCGCCCTGGTCCTTGCCGAAAGTGTATTGGCCATGAAAACTGCTTATACAGTGTACGTTAAAGTGCCAATGGTGTTCTTTGAAAATGAGTAGGCCGTGCGTTCGCAGCGTCACAATTCACATTTGCGAAATTTGGAGAAAACAAATTACCCGCAAACTACTCGACTGGGAATCAATAGCAACATCCACCCGCTCGTCCGAAACTACACGCAGACGATGTCTGTGGAAAGTAGCGCCCTCGTGATGGCCTTGTGCCATCGGAATGGCGCGTATTCCAATGCACCGATGATCTGATAAGGCGACCGTGGAGTCGGAGATCGTCTGTGTGTGGGGGGCGACTGGTGCGGGCTGCAGGAGGATGAGGACCCCCCTGCCCCCCCCCCCCCCCCCCACTGCTGAGGATTCAGCCCCCCTCCTCCCTCCATCTAAATTCTTAAAACAAAACAAAACCGACGCTGTGTGGATGAAAGGGTTCCCCAGCACATTGCATCGTGTGTGGTCACCGCATCGCGCGCTTTAAGATGCCCGTTTACGGCCGTCTGGAACACTCTTCCATCCGATATTAGAAAGCAACTGGGAGCTATGCACTTCAATATTTAGATTGAAAACGTATTTCTTTAGCACTTATCTTTGTGTTTGCTTTCGTGTCTAGTTTGTTGTCCTTCCCCCGCACCTCCGGTTAGCACGATTGGCTACGTATGGTGTGAACGAAGTTTAACATACATACACACGTGTGGGGGGGGGGGGCGTCTTCTTCATCCTGCCGGGGATTGACGAATGGAAGTAAAAGACTATTGCCGTATTTGCTCGATTTGAGGACACTGTGGAAAATAAGACGCATCCAATCTTCTGTCTGGTGTCCATGAAGTGAAACGAGACTAGTCATACTCAACACACACACTCAACACACACACACTCAACACACACACACTCAACACACACACACTCAACGCACACACACTCAACGCACACACACTCAACGCACACACACTCAACGCACACACACTCAACACACACACACTCAACACACACACACTCAACACACACACACTCAACACACACACACTCAACACACACACTCAACACACACGCACACACACTCAACACACACACACTCAACACACACACACTCAACACACACACTCAACACACACACACGCACCTACCGGATATTCAGACGCGCTCCCAAACACTGCTTTAAAATACAGGAGTAGACATTTGCACAATAATCCGTAGAATACGGCATCATATTACATGTAATGTCAAACAAACAGTGGTCCCACGGTAAATTCCTCCACATCGTTAGTTAGCGTGAGCTCTGATGACCCCGGAGGCAAAACTGCGGTTGGATTCATGAGTCGTAGGGAATTTAAAAAAAAGAACGGCGCTTTTGAAATGCGACATCGTTTTTTGGTTGCCGCAGAGTCCAGCGGTCATCTTGACCGCAATCCTTGCAAGCGCTCGGCCGTTGCGCCATTATTCGTGCGAGAAGACTCGCAGAGTTCAATTGAGAGTTCAATTCACTTGAAAAAAAAAACTTCTATGAATTCCACAACAATCATGACACGTGAGCAAAGTCAACACGGCGAGTAGGGGAGGGCGTATCCACGTGACTCCCCAGGGGCATAAGCCACACACAATTAGGCAATAATGGCTGCACTGAACTGATGATGATGATGACACCGGTAGAGAGTAATCACTTTGGCTAATTGGCGCCTTAATTGATATGGCCACAGCGTTGAATCTTAGC